GCGGGTCTGGGCTGGGGATTCGAACCCACCACCTAAGGTGTACGTGGCTGGCGCCTTAGCCGGTTGAGCCACAGGCGCCGAGCCAGTTTTTTAAAAAGTAACAAGGCTCAGCTCCCGTGGCACAGTGGTTACAGTGCCAGCCACATCCACTGAGGCTGGCGGATTGGAGCTCAGCCTGGGCCAGCTCAAAGACAACTACAACAAAAAAATAGCTGGGCGTGTGGCGGGCGCCTGTAGTCCCAGCTACTCGGGAGGCTGAGGCAAAGCCCAAGAGTTTGAGGTTGCTGTGAGCTATGAGCACTTTACTGAGGGCGACATAATGAAACTCTATCTAAAAATAAATAAATAAATAAAAAGTAACAGTAATTAACAAGTAGGATAAGTTCCCTTCACGTTTCATTTTCAAAGTTTTCTAATACTCTTATATATATTTTTTTTTTTTTTTGGAGACAGAGTCTCAAGCTGTCACCTTGGGTAGAGTACCGTGGCATCACAGCGCACAGCAACCTCAAACTCTTGGGCTGAAGCTACTGCCTCAGCCTCCCAAGTAGCTGGTACTACAAGGGCTCACTACAATGCCCGGCTATTTTTTGGTTATAGTTGTCATTGCTGTTTGGCGGACAGGGCTGGATCCAAACCCACCAGCTCTGGTGTATGTGGCTGGCGCCCTAGCTGCTTGAGATATAGGTACGCAGCCTGTTTGTTTTTTATGAGACAGTCTCTACCTGAGTAGAGCATAGTGGCATCATCATAGCTCACTGCAACCTCAAACTCTGAGACTCAAGAGATCCTCCTAAGCCATCTCCTACTTGGCATCATGGCCACCCTCAGACCCCTTGTGATGTTGAAGATCGTCAAGCAGAGGACCAAGAAGTTTATCCAGCACCAGTCAGACCAATTAAGTCAAAATTAAGCGTAACTGGCGGAAACCTAGAGGTATGGACAACAGGGTTTGGAGAAGATTCAAGGGCCGGATCTTGATGCCCAACACTAATAACGGGAGCAACAAGAAAACAAAGCATATGCTGCCCAGTGGTTTCTGGAAGTTCCTTGTTCACAACGTCAAGGAGCTGGAAGTGCTGCTGATGTGCAACAAATCTTATTGTGCAGAAATTACTCACAACACTTCCTCCTAGAACTGCAAAGCCATTGTGGAAAGAGCAGCCCAGCTGGCTATCAGAGTCACCAGTCCCAATGCCAGGCTGCACAGTGAAGAAAATGAATAGACAGCTCATGTGCACATTCTATTTGTGTTTAAATAAAACCATAAATACTGTCCACCTGGCATTTTCCTTCAAAAAAAAAAAAGAGATCCTCCTGCCTCAGCCTTCTGAGTAGCTGGGAATACAGGAATATACCATGATACCCAGCTCATTTTTCTGTGTTTAGGAGACAGAGGGTCTCACTTTCACTCAGGCTGGTCTTAAACATCTGAGCTCAAGCAATTCTCCCACCTCAGGTCCCCAGCGTGTTAAGATTATAAATGTGAGCCACTGTGCCTGGCCATTATTGTTACACTTTCTTTTTCTTTTTTTGAGACAGTAGAGTCTCACTCTACTCCCTCAGTGGAGTGCCATGGCGTTATAGCTCACAGCAACCTCAAACTCTTAGGCTTAAGCAATTTTCTTGCTTCAGCCTCCCAAGTAGCTGGGATTACAGGTGCCTGACACAACGCTTAGCTATTTTTTTGTTGTAGTTGTCACTGTTGTTTAGCAGGCCCAGGCTGGGTTTGAACCTGCCAGCCCCGGTGTATGTGGCTGGTGCCCTAACCACTAAATATAAGTGGCCAAGCCTATTATTACATGTTTTCTATTTCAAATGAACATATTTTTAAAATCAACCAAAATAACAAATCTGTTATAGAAGATAAATTCTTTACAATCAACCTACTCCTTTTTTCAGATCTTATCTGGTGCTGCTCACTTACCTGCTATGATACTCTGCTAGTGGACTTTCTTCTTTCAGGATCCTCCTGCCTGCAAAGTCAATGGTGACTTTCTTAGAGAGCCGAGAGGCATGTCGAAGTTCCCTCAGCTCCTCTTCTCGCTTCTTGAGGGTTTCCCGCTCTAGTTTAGATAACCACTGGTTAGAATCGCTGGCAAAGTAATCTGACTCATCATCAATGACTTGGGTCCTTCGAATGCTAAGGAAAAAAATAACACATGGTGATTGGGTCACTTGTTGATAAATAAGGACAGATAAACAGGAAACAGTTTCAATCTAGCTTACACTCCTGCTATTCTAGAGGTTACTATCTGAAATAAAGATGCCCCAAAATGTTATAAAACCTAACCCTGGCAATCTGTTTGGTTCCTAGATTCTGCATATATCTCATCTCCATTGTAGGTTGACTTGAGCTTCTAGAACTAATCTCAGTCTCAGGTAGGAAAAAAAAAATAGCACTCTAATCCACAGTTCTACCTTTTTTTCTTTTTATTCAAATAGAGTCTCACTTTGCCATCCTCAATAGAGTGCTGTGGCATCTTAGCTCACAGCAACCTCAAACTCTTGGGCTGAAGCAATTCTCTTGCCTTAGCCTCCCAAGTAGCTGAGATTAAAGGCACCTGCCACAATGCCTGGTTATTTTTAGAGACAAGGTCTCAACCTTGTTCAGGCTGGTGTTGAACTCCTGAACTAATGAACAATCCACTCACCTCAGCCTCCCAGTGTGTTAGGATTAGAGGCGTAAGCCACTGCCCTCAGCCTGTGGATAGAATTTATTCTTGCTAGGCCCATTTGCTTAGTAGAGTTCTACTCTGAAATCTCAGTCCTATGCCCTAACTATTTACTCTTAGGATACATTATTATTATACTCCTCTATGTCACTTTCTACTCCAACTTTTCAGTCCCTTGGTTATACACTATGACCACATTCCAAAATATAACAATAAGGTCTATTTCTGAGATCATACTGACAAAGAAACTGAGAACTAGAACTCTTGATGACCTAACTTTCTCATTCTACAGATGATTCACATTCTATAGAAGTTAACCAATTATATCAAAATCACAAATCCAGTTAAGAGGATTACATAAATCCTCTGCCCTTCGGCCCCTGTAGCACAGTGGTTACAGAGCCAGTCATATGCACCGAAGCTGGTGGATTGGAACCCAGCCCGGGCCAGCTAAACAATAATGGCAACTGCAACCAAAAAATAGCCAGGCCTTGCAGCGGGCGCCTATAGTCCCAGCTACTTGGGAGACTGAGGCAAGAGAATTGCTTAAGCCCAAGAGTTTGAGGTTCCTATGAGCTGTGACACCACAGCAGTTTACTGAGGGCAACATAGTGAGACTGTTGCCTTTAAAAAAAAAAAAAAAGACCACCTTTCTCCACAACTATAGATACTGATATACACAGGCTTAAAGGAAATACTGAAATCAGATTCATATATTAATTTCAAATTTCAGTTTTTTAAAGTTTACCTGAATTACCAATAGATTTTGTCTTTCCTTTCTTTATTTTTTATTTTATTATCCTTTTGAGACAGAGTCTCATTGCTGCCCCTGGGTAGAGTATGGTGGCATCATAGCTCACATCAACTTCAAACTCTTGGGCTCAAGCAATCCTCTTGTCTCAGTCTCTCAAATAACTGGGGTTGCAGGCACCTGCCATGACACCTTTCTAGATTTTTCTATTTTAAGTAAAGACAGCCTCTCGATCCCTCTCTTGCTCAGGCTAGTCTTAACCCCTTATCTCAGGAGAAACACAGGCCTTGGCCCCTAGTATGCTAGGATTATAGGCATGAGCTGTCACGCCAGCCCTTCCTTTTTTTATTTATTTTAAGACAGTCTCATGGCTCGGCACCTGTGGCTCAAGTGGCTAAGGCACCAGCCACGTACACCCAAGGTGGCGGGTTCAAATCCAGCCCGGGCCTGCCAAACAATGATGGCGGCAACCAAAAAATAGCCAAGCGTTGTGGCAGACGCCTGTGGTCTCAGCTACTCGGGAGGCTGAGGCAGGAGACTCGCTTGAGCCCAGGAGTTGGAGGTTTCTGTGAGCTCTGATGCCACAGCATTCTACCCAGGGGCACAGCTTAAGGCTCCTGTCTCAAAAAAAAAAAAAAAAAGACAGTCTCATTTTGCTACCCTGGGTAGAGTGCCATGGTGTCACAAGACACAGCAATTTCAAACTCTTGGGCTCCAGTGATACTCTTGCCTCAGCCTTCCAAGTAGCTGGGACTACAGGCATCCACGACAATATCCAGCTATCTTTAGTGATGGGGTTTTGTCCTTGCTCAGGCTAGTCTCAAACTCTTGAGCTCAAGCAATCTACCTATCTTGGCCTCCCAGAGTGTTAGGATTACAGGCATGCGCCACCACACCTGGCCTTTCCTTTATTTTTATTTTTTGAGAAAAAGTCTCATTCTGTGCCCTGCTGTTGAGAGCTGTAGCATCATAGCTCACAGCAACCTCAAACTCTTGGGCTCAAGTGATCCTCTTGCCTCAGCTCCCAAGTAGCTGAGATTACCAGGTGCCTACCATAATGCCCAGCTATTTTTTAGAGGAGAGGTCTCATTCTTGCTCACGCTGGGCTTGAACTCCTGAACTCCAGCAATCTACCCACTTGGCTTCCCAAAGTCCTAAGATTATAGGCATAAGCCACCACACTTGGCCTTTTGCTTTTTTAAAAGATAGTGTCTTATTCTATCACTGACACTGGAGTACAGTGGCACAATTATAGTTTACTTTAATCTGTAACCTGGAACTCCCAGTTTCAAGTAATCCTCCTGCTTCAGCCTCCTGAGTAGAGTAGCTGAAACTACAGAGGCACATGACACCATACAAGTTAAATTTTTGTTTTCGTTTTTCAGAGATGAAGTCTCCCTATGTTGCCCAGACGGTTCACAAACTCCTGGCTTCAAATGATTCTCCTGCGTTGGCCTCCCAAAGGGCTGGAATTATAGGTGTGAGCCATCCCACCTGCCCTAAAATTTTGGTCTTAAAAGTAGACTTAGAGTGGGAAGATTTTAAGAGGACTCAAGAGGAAACTGGTGTTACATGAAAATGTAGGTAATAAAATTGGTACACATAACCACATCAGCAAATCAGCAACAATAATAGGGAAAATTCCTTTTCCATTTTCTATCTATCAAAAAATGCTATCCAGGCATGGTGGTGTGTGATTCTAGTCTCAGTTACTCAGAGGCAGGAGGATCACTTAAGCTCAGGAGTTTGAAGCTTCAGTGAGCTATGACCATGCCACTGTACCACTTCAGCTTCAGTGTGACATAATGAGACCTTTTATCAAAAAGAAAACAAAAGGGAAAAAAACTATTATTTCTAACGGTAAGGTAAAATGTGATACCTGAAATATTGAAAGTACATATATGGCTC